GCATTTTTGAAGCTCAAAAGTGGGCGGAGGCGGCCGTCGCCATCTTGGCAGCGTGTCACCGCACGTCACTCCCGGATAATCAAAAATGGGCAAAAAGGCGGGAGCAGGTTGCTGAAATTTTGCGGCCAGCTGATGAATTACAGTTTAAGTCACTTCCTTGTTGGCTTCACGAGAGAGAGCGGGAGGCTGTCTCTTGCTTCAACTACATCTGGAGACTCGCCGATTCACAACAACCAACAATATCTAGTGGAAACACAGAGACATTGTTCATATATGTTTACTCAGATACGAAGACACAAGGATGCAATATTACTGAAATACAGTTAAGGACAACTGAGACACTCTTGATTTGTTAAATTACAAACATGCAACAGTGATGACTATTTAATCTTGAAAATATGTCATTCACCTGATTTCACTGAAGTAGTATGCTGAAGACTGTCATCAACAAAATATTTTAGTAAAAAGGACTTAACTGACTTCAAGTACACAAGTACAATGTAAATCCCACAAACTTTTGGTTTGAATGTGTACAGGATAAAGGCATAAATTAATGAGTGCTTTTAACTCATATTAAAGCTGTAGAACGTAATCATATGATACCAACGTTGTGAGGTGAGTACTTAAGTTACACTGACTTCTATTGAATTCAATATTATGATCTAGTCTTTCTCAATGTAAATATGTTAATGGTACGTCAACAAAAAATGGCAGGTAGATTTGCAATCGGAGACATGAAAGATCCTATGAAGCACAAAATCAGATGAACAACCTGCCAGCCGCACGTAACGTTACTAATAATAATAATGTACCCTTCAGCCCAGATCTGCCTCACGGCGGTAAAGTTAGTTTGACGTTTGACATTCATTAGACATTCGGGTTTTTTGCCAATTAAACTCGTTGCAGCTTTTATGTTTTGAGCCCTAACTAACTCAGATAGACATAAATATATGCCCTTTATGTTGCACAAGGCTTAATTTCTAGGAATTAAAAAAAAAAGAATTAACCATTTAAATTAATTAAACAATTTAACTACGTGACATTATAATATAAAACCAATACTAAAATGTTCGGGAAAACATACCTGTTATCGCACAAAGCTCCGTTTTTGGAATTACAATTTTATGTTTTTAATGTACAGTATTTGAAAAATAATGTGTTTTTTGAACATTAAAGCATGTCAACATATTCTGTTACACCAAATACACTAAATAATGATCTTTAAAAAAGCATCATATGACCCCTTTAATTAATTTAAGTAGATACAGTATATAAAACATATGAAAAAAAATGCATTATAGGGAATAATATTTAGATATTTTTATAGTTGTTTTGATACCTTTATCTCAAACTGTGTCAAAGTTTAATTAATTTAAGTGGATACAGAATAATAAACCTGACAAATATGGATTCAGTACTGTATATAAAAACAGAGCTGCAACGAGTTTAATTGGCAAAAAACCTGAATGTCTAATGAATGTCAAACGTCAAACTAACTTTACCGCCGTATCAGCCTCAATGTCACAGCAAACACAAAACTGACCACATGGATGTTTACAATTATAACTACAGGATACTTTATAATTACACCAAAGTGGCAGTAAACAATAATGAAAGGTATTGTTTTAAACATAAAACTCAACATCGTGTAGCTTGCAAGCTATCCAGAGATGCTACTGCAAGTAAACAACTTTTTAAGACGGCAAAGATCTCATCTACGTATTTAACTACCTTCATACGCAACATACGTGTTTCTACAGCAATTGAACTACCGTACATTGACGTGTCATTATTGAGATATTGTGTTTTGATATGTAAATGCATTATCCTACCGCAGGCCCCGCGGCTCCTGAGCGGGTGCTGCTGCAGCATCTCAAACCGGTGTAAACACATTCATCAACAGAAGAGGGCGCCCTCATCTCCCTTTGCTTCTTCTTCTTCTTCTTCTTCTTCTTCTTATGATTACCACTGTTGTTGGTTGGATTTCTTCCACCCACTGTAAAGCTATCTGAATAGCGATCATCTCTGCTGCATATACTGATATATTATTAGAAGTTCTTTTTGCAGATTTATATTTAAAGTGAGGAATATACATGGCAGCACTTGTACGCCCAGTTTCTGGGTCTTTAGAACCATCTGTATAAATTTGTAAAAATTGAAAGTAATGACTATCTAAATGCTGCTGCACTATTGTTTCTTTGGGAACATATTTATTGTTTTCGTTTATTACATTAAATATCTGCAAATCAACTGTTGGCATAGAAAAAAAACCAAGGTGGATATACAGGCAGAGCCACCGTGGGGCTAATATCGATATTACTGATACCTATTTGTTGAGCCTGCTTGCCTACTGTCCAGCCAAAACTATTCATATATGTCTGCTCATATTCCCAGCAGCTCTCCAATATTTTTTTTACTGGATGATTGGTAAAATGACCTTTAATACCAGTCCAATATACCATTTTAAGCTGAATTTCACGAATGTCTAGTGGTGTTTCACCCATTTCTACCTGCAAAGCTGTCACAGGAGAGGATCTAAACGCTCCACAACATATTCTTTTAATGCTTTTTCTGATAGATGCTTGATCATATCATAACACACTTCATCTTTCCCTGGAGAAGTATGTCTTACCCCTTTCAGTGCCTGTTTTAGTTCATTCAATGTGAATATGGCATCCATTGGACTTTCCGAGGAAACTTTTTGAATTAAAACATCTGGATTATCTCTTAATCTTTGTTCTCTTTTTTCCCTCATTTCTTCTGAAATGTTATCATTACTATGCACCGTTACAAATGCCTCAGCCAAAACCTCAGCCTTTTCTTTATTACTGATAACTTGTTTATTTCCACTTATTAAAAGTATACTGTTAAAGTTATGTATCCCTCCCATTTTTCTGATCATTCCCCATACATCGCTGATGTCTACATTTTCACCAATTCTATCACAATATTCTCTCCAATGATTTCTTTTAGCTACACGGATAACTTTCCTTACCGCTGCCTGTGCTCTCTTATATGCAATAAAGTCATCAAAAGAATATGACTTTTTAACTCTCCTTAATAACCTATTTCTTGTTTTAACTACTTTACTACACTCATCAGTCCACCATGGCACATTTTTCTTTTTCTGCCTACCTATACTTTTACCTATTACATCTTCTGCAACCTCACAAATAATTTCGCAAATTGTATTATTATATTGCTCTACATCATCTATATTACTGTTTAAACTTTGTAATCTTGGTTCACATTCACACTGAAATGCATTCCAATCTGCTGCTTTAATCTTCCATCTAGGAACCCTTTCTATGTCTGTTTTTGATCCCTTTGCTTCTGCATGGATTATGGTATTTCTATAATACATTGTGTATTTTGTTCTTAACTATAATTTACAAAACAATGTCCTCCTGGTCCGAGGTTTATTTATTTCAGTAAACAAAGAAATAGATCAATTTAGACTTAAAGGTGATTCAGATTAATTCACCATAAGTGCTTTTTGAATCACTAAAAAGATCAGGCTCGTAAGAGTCATTCGGTCATTACTTTATATTACTTTATCATACTCAGAGGCCATAAATGCATTGCACTATCAGGATAGCACTTGTAGGATTTTGTAATTCTTAGTATTTGTTATTAAATTGGTTATAATTTCTATTTATCTGTTATTGATGCCTATCTTTATCCTAGACGTAGTATATTTTCATATTGAATGTTATTTTATACAAAATACACTTTTCTGTCTTATCTTTTACATCACAATGGTGAACACAATATGTGATCCTGGACCACAAAACCACTCATAAGGGTGAATTTTTTAAAACTGAGATTTATACATCATCTGAAAGCTGAAATAAGCTTTCCATTGATGCATGGTTTGTTAGGATAGGACAGTATTTGGCTGAGATACAATTATTTGAATATCTGGAATCTGAGGGTGCAAATAATAATAATAATAACAATAATAATAATAATACAAATAAAAATATTGAGAAAATCAAAGTTGTCCAAATTAAGTTATTAGCAATTCATATTACTAATCAAAAATTAAGTTTTGATATATTTACGGTAGGAAACTTACAAAATATCTTAATGGTCGTTAACTTTTAAATGCATCATTATGCATAAAATATGAGCAGAGTTCTCGGCATGAACTGGCAGATCAATGTGCTACTTCTTTTCTCCCCAATACGGTAGGAAGTTAAATGAAATGCAATGTGGAGGATGCTATAATTTTGACCCATACAATGTATCTTTGGCTATTGCTACAAATATACCCGTGCTACTTATGACTGGTTTTGTGGTCCAGGGTCACATATAGGCCCCAAAGTAAACTGTTTCCTGTGAATTCAGGAAGTTGCACTGTATCTAAGTTAATGAATAAACTACATAACCCATAAGTCCTCATTCAACACGGAAGTAAACTGTCAACCGACAAAAGTCACTCATGCGGGTGCTGGGTTGTTTTGCTAAAGCACTATCCTTGCTAGCAGCCTCGGTCAACCAGAAATTAATTTTCGCATTTTTCGATTGTTGAAGTGTTCAATGACATCGTATCGCATCACATAGGTCATAAATCGTAGGAAGTCAGACTGAGATATCTTGTCATTTCAGTGTAGTTTCCCAAGCGATTCCCAGCATGACTTCTCGTCGTCCGGACAGCTTTGAGGGCTTGGGTTACAGGGGCAGAGAGGATCCGTCATTCAGCGGGGGCTATTCGGGCAGGTCATTCAATAATTCATCTGGCTCTGACCTCCAGCACTGGGTCACCA